TTTTTTTTTTGCAAGGCCATGAAATTATTTTAAGTTCTTTTTCTTCATGATTGAATATACACAGATAATGGAAATGATGCATTATTGTCCTGTAAAGATGGGTGGACTATATATAAATTCACTTGTCGAATTTTCTTTAATAGTCCTCCAGAGCAACTTGAAGAGAAGCAGGGGATGCTTTCACAAGAACACTTTTGTGGAAGGACCTAGCATGCTTTAAGCACCAGTGTGCCAGGCTAGCAATGGCATATACTTCGTCTCTCACATTTTGCTTAATTCTTCTGTAGAAAATCCTCTCATGAAATATCATGTATTGTATTAGTCAAACATGCACATATCCAGGGGAAGGAACGCCCTTCTTCTGCTACCATGATAGGGCGTTGCTCTTAAGCATGTGACGATGCCTTGTGCTTTACCATTGTGACTTGCGGCATGATCTGTATGAAGTTCCTTTTACCCAATATTTCTAGTATTTTTTTTAATGTTTATTTTTATTTTTGAGAGAGAGAGAGAGAGAGAGAGCGAGAGAGCAAGCACACAAGCAGGGGAGGGGCAGAGAGAGACACACAGAATCCGAAGCAGACTCCAGGCCCTGAGCTGTCAGTGCAGAGCCTGACGAGGGACTCGAACTCACAAACTGAGATCATGACCTGAGCGGAAATCGGATGCTTACCTGACTTAGCCACCCAGGTGCCCCCCCCCCAGTATTTCTAGGGTTAAATGAAAAGGAGAGTTCTGTGTGTTTTCAGCATCATTTTTCAGTTCCTGGATGTTATGATATGTTTTGTCATCCAAATTTTGTCTCCTTTACTAATGATTTCCATAAGCCATTTTTTCCCAGAGTATGTCTTTTGCTAGCAGCTTCCCAGCAGCTTTTTCTTTTTCTCAGTATCCCATGGTGGGGGCCTGGCTTTTCATTCCCCCCCTGGAGGACTTCTGCGAGGTCAGCATGGGGCCCAGGAGCAGGGCCTGCCTCTGCCAGTGCCTCCGCTGGTTCACTGGCTGCTGTGGTGGAATGTTACAGTATACATCGTCCACGTGTTTTTCCAAAACTGCATTCACATCAATCCAATTGTTTTCTCAGAGACTGAGTCCTTAACCAGCTTGCGCCAGTTCCACAGTGAAGGGCATCAGTGCAAGAGCAGAGCTCCAGGCTTCTGCAGGGAGGGACTGGGAGCCTAAATAGCCCCCATAATCTGGTTTCTGCAGCAACTCCACATTGTGTTGGGTTGGTGTTGGAGACTCAAGATCCACTGGCTTGAGCTATGCTCCTCCTGGACTCTGCAGGCTCTGGGGCAGTGGCTGCCAAATAGGCAGGGGACCCCAAATTGCTTTTTATTTTATTTTATTTCATTTATTTTATTTTTTCCAAATTGCTTTTTAAAGTGGGGGAAGTGGCAATATACCCAGTCACCAGTGATGCATGAATAATGTTTTGTCATATGCATCCGGGCCCTAGCAAGTTCCCAGCAGGCCAAGAACATCCTGCCTTTTGTCCAGTACTGCCCAACCTGTTCCTTCAACAGCTGGAGGGTTGCATCATTTGCCAATCAGACACTGTCCACAAAATGACTCTTGATCTCGGGGTCATGAGTTTGAGCCCCACATTGGGTGTAGAGATTACTAAAAAATAAAATAAACTTAAAAAAAAAAAACAGGGGCGCCTGGGTGGCTCAGTCGGTTGAGTGTCCAACTTTGGCTCAGGTCATCATCTTGTGGTTCATGAGTTGGAGCCCCACATCGGGCTCGCTGCTGTCAGCCTGTCAGCTTGTCAGCACAGAGCCCGCTTCAGATCCTCTGTCTTCCTCTCTCTGCCCTTCCCCTACTCACACTCTCTTTCCCTCAAAAAATGAATAAAACATTTAAAAAATGCTTTATAAAAAAATAAATAATAATAGTATTTACTGAGCACGTATGAAGGCACTGTGCTAAGAGCTTTATGCATATCATCTCATTTAATCCTCACAAAAATTCTAATGAGGCAGGAATGAATATTAACCCAGTTTTAGAGATTAAGAAACTGATGTTCAGTGAGGTTAAGGAAACTGCCCCAAGTAACCTAACCATGAGTATTGGAACTACTTAAGTAAGTGCTAGAATGGGGACGGAAAGGTAGGCCTGTGTATTCAATGCCTATGTCTAGCTCCCTAGGCATGAGTGTGCATCTAACAGTCATGCTGTACAGCCAGTTTGCTGCAAATGGAAAAGTCTTTCCTATAATCACTCCAGTGGCACTAGCGTATTACAGCAATTGAGACTTCACAATATAATTGCATAGCATGGCCTAAAGGACTCTTTGTGATCTAGCTCTTGCTGATATCTGCACCCTTCAACCCTCACCTTTGAGTCTGTACCTAGTAGAACCACATTGCTTCTAATGTCCCAAGAACCTCATGCTGTCCATGGTTTCCTGCCTTGAGACATATCATTCTCTTTGCCTCAGTGCCCTATCACCTCTATCACCTGGAATATTCCTTAGCTGGAAATCCAATTAATACATCACCTCTTCCAATAAATCTTTCCTAATTTTCCCCTGAAAATGTTAACCATTCTGTCCTCTGTACCAACCTCTGTCCTTTATTTAAAAATATATTGTTCATTTATTCATTTAACATTAAATACTATTCTTTCCAGGCGCTAGGCTAAGTTCTGGTAGACAGAGAGTCAAATAACACTTTTGGAGAGGGAGGGCTTCATGCTAAAGCATGGACATAAACAAGCTAACTGCCAGTTGTTCCCACCAGCTAACAAAGTATAGGTTTCGACAGGCTTGGGCGAGCGAGGAGAGGGTATGCTGGGAGAAACGGGTGATAGGGCATTCTAATTCAGCCCAAATTTAGGAATCGGAGTTTATCTGTTCATGGAAAACAAGAGCTGGCAATACAGCTGGTCATTTATTTGAATAAATGTCCATGATGTGGAACAGGATGGTGTCTGTTCAGCATCTTGGACTGCTTTTGAGCCCTTGTGGGGAGAGGAGTTAGGAGCAACACTGAGAGAATTATTTGAAAAGAAGACTTTGAGCTACTCTGGGCACAAGCTGTGCTGGCTGTGGAAACAGGGAAAGGCCATTCTCGCTTTCACATAGAACCCAACACTGCTGCAGTATTGAGAATGATAGCTTTCAGCACGCAGGCTGGTAGCCCCCTGCCCTGGGGATGCTGGCATTTTCACAGTGGGCCCTGTCAGCACTGGCAGTGGCAGGACCGTAGCACCCTTGAATGGCTTCATGAGAAGGCATTGAAAGAAGGTACTCGAGCAACAAAGGAAGAAAAGGTGGGGGGGGTGGGTGGGAAGGGGAATACTGCATGATGATCTATGGCTGACAGACTGGTTCGTGAGCCTATTGAGACACACCCAGGGCCTTCCACTTAGTGTTGGGGCAAGACCATGAATGCCAGGCTACTTGTAATCTTGAATTCTAACCACAAGCTATGGAGTCCCGAAGACACCTGAGTTAACTTTTTTATTGGCTATTAGGGAACTGTGTCTTATTCATCTTTATATCCCAGGACCTAAGACAAAGCCTGACACACAGCAACTGCTGACAAAATATTTGTGGATTTATTTAATGAAGGAGTTGAAAGGGTCAGAGAAGGGAGAGGTGGGAGCATCACATATGCATGCACTTGATTAAAATGTGATGATTTGTTCCTGATCTGATTAGACCCAGAATATCAAACGGACATGGAATCTGTGCCATGGGTTCTGGCCTGTTTTGATGCTGCCAGCACATGTGGGAGGTGCTGAGACAAATTCCGTGGCAGTTACAAAGCGAACTGGCTGCCAAGATGGAGAGCAGGGAACAAATGGCCTTGACCTTCTATAATCCTAAGGTTCCCAAAATTAAGGGGAACCGGCACTACCAAAGGGTGAGGAGGTACCTAATTGTAGGTCAGATGGGAGGAAGAAGACTTACTTAAAGGTGGGTCTAGATAGAGTATCCTAAAGAAAGAGAAAAGATCACCCTGGGTAGGGATAGACAGCCACAGATCAAGCCCACATGGAGACACCTAAGGTAGAGATGAGTAGGAGCCCCTGGGGATCAATGGTTATCTTTTTGGGTAGGCAATATTTCCCTCATCCTTGTAGCCTACCCTCCCCGTCAACAAATATCCGAATGCCTCAATGCCACCCCAGAGGCGGCAGCAGCATGTGAATCAGACACACATCTACATCCGAACGTTCTGTGGCAGCCTGTGTGGTTTTGGTTTCCTAATGGTGATCTGCATGTCCCCACTGAACTGGGTGAGGTTCCTGGTGACCAAGAATGGCTTTGAGCTCTACGCAGGACTCTGGATCACATGCAACTATGAGCTGTGCTGGAGCCACACACCCAAACCACCCTGTGAGTTCCACCAAATTAAACACCACAGGCCCCACAGTTCCAGAGCTTTCTGCCATGTTGGCCCTTCATCTTTCCTCCTCCAAGATCTCTTTGCCCTCACTTCTCCAAGTCCAGGATGGATCTCAGCCAAATTGTGAATGTAGCCATCCTTTTCTTTGGTGTTCTCAGTGTAACCTTTCCCAACTCAGTAGTTGATACTCTCTTTACTTTCTGGGAAGAACCCATTGGGCCTTTATAAGCTGTCCCTGTGAAGCAGTATGGTTGGTTATTCTAACATCACTTGCAGAAATAGATGTAATTGATCATAACCGGGAAACAAAGCAAGGTGTCTCAGCCTCCATCAGATTTAATTTTTAAGGTCAGTGTGTTCTTCTGCCAACAGTAGAAGAGAATGTAAATGCATGTCAGATAAGGGTGTATAACAAATGCTAGCTATTTAGAGTAAATTATTAATGTCAAATTTTATGTGAACTTAAGCAGATCTGAAAATGCAATATAAAACATTGAAAAATAAGTTTCTAGGGCTAGAAGATACCATATGCATGAGTTTTTCAATCAGAAGCAACACTTAGAGGAAAGACAGAACTACACGAAACAGTTTTCCCATTATCCACAAGAGATACAGATAAGCAGAGGCTCCAGATGCTGGATGTGGGGTTGGAGGGGTTGCACCTAGGCTCAGACCTGAGCTGAAGCATCTATGACATGTGGAACTCAAGGGCAGGACCCAAACACAAGATCTTGAGAAGGAACTAAAATCAAAGGCAGGCAGACAATTCAAGTGCACCTTCAACTTAAAAGAAAAACTAAAGAAAATATTTGCAACAAATATGAAAGATAAAAGGCTAATGGCCTTAATATTTTAAAATGTATATTATTAATAAAAAGGCAAATACTCAAATAAATTCTTTTTTTAAAATTTTTAAAATATTTTATTTATTTTTGATAGAGAGAGACCGAGCACAAGTGGGGGAGGGGCAGAGAGAGAGGAGACACAGAATCCGAAGCAGGCTCCAGGCTCTGAGCTGTCAGCACAGAGCCCGATGCGGGGCTCAAACCTATGAACCATGAGTTCATGACCTGAGCTGAAGTTGGTTGCCCAACCAACTGAGCCACCCAGGCGCCCCTCAAATAAATTCTTGATAACCAGACAATTCACAGAACAAAAACTAAAAATGTTTAGTAAACATAGGTAAAACTATTTTAACCATAATAAATCATTAAAGAAAGGCAAATCAAATGAACAGTAAGATAAGATTTTTCAAACGCGACATTAGCAGAGATTTTTATTTATTTATTTTTTTTTTAAATTTTTTTTTTTCAACGTTTATTTATTTTTGGGACAGAGAGAGACAGAGCATGAACGGGGGAGGGGCAGAGAGAGAGGGAGACACAGAATCGGAAACAGGCTCCAGGCTCTGAGCCATCAGCCCAGAGCCGACGCGGGGCTCGAACTCACGGACTGCGAGATCGTGACCTGGCTGAAGTCGGACGCTTAACCGACTGCGCCACCCAGGCGCCCCTAGCAGAGATTTTTAAATGATGATACACAATGCTGGACACTCTCATATACACTGGGGACCATGTAAATGGCTATAACCAAAGCAATATGATTATGTGTATCCAGAGATTTACACTCACAAATTCCATTTCTAGAGAAATGGAGTAAAAGATACAGGCATAAAAATTAAACTGCAATATTTATGTAATCATGCCCAGGTTAAAATTTAGGACTTGAAGATTATTAAAATTTTAATGAATGAGAGTCTTGGAATTTTGTCACTTACAGTAGCAAATAGTTTATTTCTCAGAACCTGGATATTACCTATGAGGCCAACTGTTAATGATTTAGAGGTGGTCAACTGAGTCCTTTAAGTACACAATTTTAAGTCAAGTATCTATCCTGTTTGCAACGTTAACTAAGTTCTAATTCTAGGATCAGTAAGTAGTCCGCAGTTCTCATAATGAATTTCCCAAATGTTATGAGTGTGTTCAGCTCTCACTAATCTGTTATGTTATTACTGCCCAAAACACTATTGTCCAAATTCAAGAACTTTAAACTTTTACCTACTAATTGCAAGAATTTAGCCCCCTTTCCCATGGAAAGGTGTTTTCAGGATCATCCCAGTCAATGATTCTTGACTTCAGAGCAGCATCAGGTAGGATATAAAAGCTACTAAGACTGGAAAGAATACTACCCTACTGGAAAGCAGTAATGTCATTTCTGTGAGTTTCATGGGGACTCTCTAAGATGGGCTCAAGAATGTGTGTGTTCATGTTCCTCTGTCGTGGAGTTACATTAGGCCATTGTGCCTCTGCCTCTGATTTCACCTGGTTCTAGATGATTGATAGCCTCTCTGCTGTAGCAGTTGCTAACAGAATGGAGAAGGGGTGGGGAGTAGGGGACACCATCCTTCACTTTTATTCTAGGTCTCAAGTGTGGAACAGACCCTTCTGTTAACTCCCCTGTAGCATAGGTGAGATCAAACCATAATATAAAGGAATGTTTTGCCATAGAGAGTAGGTTGGACCATTTGGAAGACTGTGGAGAAAGAAGATTAGGTCTTTTAGTCAAAGCAGTGGACCCTCCAAGCCAGGGCCTGAGAACCATTGCACAATAAACAAGGCCAGGCTGTGTGAGGAACCTAAATCTTAAGTTGATTTCACAGCCTCCTCTCCCAGGTGCTAGGTCTCCATCTTTTCCATTCCAAAACCACCTTCTTTTCCATGAGGCTGGGGAAGTTTTGTCCTGGCCTTATGTGACTGGAATAAAAGTTTTGTCTTGGCCTTATGGCAACAACATGGAGGTTTAGATCTGACTAAATAAGTGGGCTGACTCCTCAGCAGCACCTTCTTCATTCTCAAAATCCATAGCCACACCCCACCTGCACTCACTCAGTCTGGCTCCTTCATAGTTAAAAGGAGCTAGCCCTTTCGGAGCACTGTCTCCCTATTCTGGCTTTGATTTTTGCTGAAGGACCTAGGGTGCAGTAAGAGGAATCCCACCCCCAAATCTCTTTGGCACAGCTGAGTACTAGGTGCTTAGCTTTTCCTATGGCTGGCTTCTCTCCTATGCTTCTTTCTTCTCACGTCATCTTGGCTTCCCCATTGATTCCTTCCAGAGTGTCAACAGCTGTAAAGGAAAAGAGCATCTAGTGTTAACTAAGCTTATTTGTTCACAAGAGCAAGGTGGCTTATAGCCCTGGCCCTCTCACTTTCCAAAACCTCCTGGACCAAGTTTTACTTTCATAACAATAGAAGGAGATCTTGCCCAGCCCAAACTACTGAATGGTGAGTGTTCCCAATTCACTGAGAATCATTACTGCTTTCCAGTATGGTAGTATCCCTTCCAGTCTTGGTAGCTTTTATGTCTTACCTGATGGTGCTCTGAAGTACAGAATCACTGACTGGGATGATCCTGAGAACACCAGCAAGGATCTTATCAAGCTTTTCGCGTGATGTGGGCTTCTTCGTCTCCAAATTGAGAATGACATCCCCTCTCTTCCCAGGGCATTAGCTTCATTGCCTTTAGCAAACTGGGAGGTTTGCCTTGCTATTCCTGCAACCTAAGGCCATAAAAGAATATTACTAAGGAAATCTTCAGCAGTGTTTTGATACATGTGACCTACGTGGGTGTTCCTTATATCTAGGGCACTTCTCTTTCCCTGGACCAAAACTTCTTACTGACAAGTAGGGCCTTTTGTAACATAGGTCCTAAGATCTTTGAAACTTTGACAAGTAAGCTACTGTAAAAACTGATGTTTAAAAGCTGAAATAGCTTTTGGTTTTATAGGAGATGGAGACTTGAATTCAGCTTTAGGATGTTTGTTTTGTTTTGTTCAATGAATTAGGAAAAAAACTATGAAGTTAACCAAATGTGCAGCCATTTTATACTATGGAGTTAAGTGTTTAGTTTGGTCAGATAATTAGTTGTATATAATTATTACTAGTAGACTTGCTTCCTTTTGGGGTGAGATTATTCTATGCTGCAAATCTTCAGTTGTTCCTTTGGAGTTGTGAGTGATCTTGTTCATGTGGTTTCAGGAGATAAGGAGCCAAAATAGAGAAGATTGTAAGAAAAACATGAAGTCAATTCTTCCTCTCATGGTGGAGGAAAGGCGGGCTGTAACATATCTTAGACAGAACTTACACTGAATATCTTAGTGCACTTTTGTGTTTTAATGATCAGATTTCATTTGAACTAGTATAAGCTATAGAGTGAACTTATTTATTCAGAAGAATCTCATAGACTCCCAAAGGCAGGAAGTTTGCTGTACCTTAGGAAATTCCAGACAAGACCGGGGTCTCTGATGAAGAAAATCAAGCCTGCCAGTCACTCAGTCTCTCTAGAGCTGCATTGTCACTCATCTTAGTTTACACTTTGTCACTACAGCTCAGTTTCTCTTGTTAGTGTGCAAATCCTAAAAAGTGAGATCCCAGTCTAGCTTTGTATCTTCTTGGCTCAAACAAGCAAAAGAGGAAATTAACATGAATCAGTCTCAAATCCAAATTTCCAAGCATAAGAATCAAATTAGTCCAATATGGGTCAGAGCCCATTCCTTGGTCCAATTAGCTATAGTCAGGGGACTATAGGCAAGGGCTACTAGGTCTAGTTGGGGGCAGTGGGCTAAATACCATGAACGATGCCTATCACACTGGGCTTCATGAAGCTCAATGTAGGCTGATGGTTCTTACTGGCTACATATCCTGCTAATTCTGAAACCCAGGTTTCAGAAAATGTGTTGCTTTGGGGTCATCATGTTTTAATGTGGCTAATTTGTTTGGGCCACAGAACAACTCACCTCTGTGGGTAGGGGTGTGGTTTCTTTTCATGGACTTTCCTATTATTGATGATGTAAGTGGTGAGTTCTAGAGAACGAAGTAAAACTTAAGAGTCAAATCTTAAATTGGGATAAGCTTTAACATATTTTCTTCTCTCTGGGTTACCTGGAAGCCGGACTGTGATTCTCAGACATAAAAGTTCTGAGAGAACTTTTAGTGGTAGAGCCCATCTGGCTTAAGAAAGGAAAAAAGCTAGACAAGGAGGCACCCCCTAAAGGATACTGAAGACATTGCAGGGTCTGCAATATCAGAAGAACTATATTTACTCGCAATCGTGTGTTATCCTCTATTTCTTTTTTTTTCCAAGTTTTTATTTAAATTCCAGTTAGTTAAAATACAGAATAATATTAGTTTCAGGTGTACAATCTAGTGATTCATCACTTCCATACATCACCCGGTGTTCATCACAACAAGAGCACTCCTTAATCCCCGTCACCTATTTAATCCATCCCCCAACTACCTCCTCTCTGGTAACCATCCATTTATTCTCCATAGTTAAGAGTCTATTTCTTCGTTTGCCTCTTCGCTTCTCTTTTCTTGTTTGTTTTGTCTCTTAAATTCCACATGTGAGTGAAATCGTATGGTATTTTTCTTTCTCTGACTAATTTCACTTAACATAATACTCTCTAGCTCCATCCATGTCATTGCAAATGGCAAGATTTCATTCCTTTTTATGGCTAAGTAATATTCTGCTGTGTGTGTGTGTGTGTGTGTGTGCGTGCGTGCATACATACATACCACATCTTCTTTATTCATTCATCAATCGATAGATACTTGACACTTGGGCGGTTTTCATAATTTGGCTATTGTAGGTAACGCTGCTATAAACATCAGGTGCATGTATCTTAAAACATTGCTGTGGGAGTTAAGGGAAGGATCTGCTTGATATTAGGGAGATGTTAGGAAAAAGCAATGTTTAGCATGCCCCTTCTCTCTTACCAACATCCAATCTGCAGAGAGCAGAGATCTTGAGCCAGGAGATGAGAGAAGTGGCGTTATGGCATTTGGGTAAGGGCTTTGGAACAAAAGGATGTTAGCAGGCCTGTCCCTGAGCAAATGTGACGCAGGACCTTGAGGGACTCTCAGGAAAGAAAAAAAAAAGAAAGAAAGATATTTTTAGGGATTGAAATTCCTACAATCCAGAAAATTCAGGCTTGAAATCTTACAAGAGAGGAGTTCAAGTAAATGGACGTCGTTTTGTGGTCAAATGCAAGATAAGGCCTGTACAAGCCAGATCTACTTGGAAGAGAAAAAACAAATAGAAACAAACTACCTGTCCAAAAACAGTTAAGTCATTAAGTAAAATATGTTAATATGATAAGCTCCTTGGTAGCCATTAAAAATGATGTATACAGGGGTGCCTGGGTGCCTCAGTTAAGTAACCAGCTCTCGATTTCAGCTAAGGTCTTGATCTCATGGTTCGTGGGCTTGAGCCTCGCTCTCTCTCTCAAAAATAAATAAATAAACATTTTTAAAAATTAAAAAAAAATGAAAATGATGTTTACAACAGGTGATTTGGAGGATAATCTTACCATATAATCTTAAGAAAAAATTCACTTGATATGCAGTATCATATCCACTCAGTACAGAGGGTAGAAAAATACTGGAAAGAAATAACATAAAATGCTAGCAGTAGTAGCTGCCTCTAGGTAGTGGGCTTGTGGCTGATTTTCTTCCTTATATTGAACATGTATTACTTTTATTTATTTAAAAAATGTTTTTAATGTTTATTTATTTTTGAGAGACAGAGCACAAGCAGGGGAGGGGCAGAGAGAGTGGGAGACACAGAATCTGAAGCAGGCTCCAGGCTCTGAGCTGTTAGCACAGAGCCCCAGGCAGGGTTCGAACCCACGAACTGTGAGATCATGACCTGAGCCAAAGTCGTATGCTTAACCGACTGACCCACCCACATGCCCCCATGTATTACTTTTAGAATTAGAATTAGGAACAAGAAAATGTTTTAATCTGTGTTGTGATGTTAGAGTCATGTTTCCTATAAGCTAGTTTACATCTAGGTTAATGTGTTAACGCACCCAGAACTATTTGTATGTTTAGTTTTATAATGAAGGCTTTGCCTTCACAGTAAATAAATTCCAAGTATCAGTGAAAAGCTGGGAAACGGGAACCTGGGTGTCTCAGTCAGTTAAGTGTCTGACTCTTCATTTCAGCTCTGGTCATGATCTCACAGTTCTAGCCCCATGTGGGACTCAGCGCTGATAGCTCAGAGCCTGCTTGGGATTCTCTTTCTCTCTCTCTCTCTCTCTCTGCCCTTCCCATGCATGTGCTCTCTCTCTCTCTCTCTCTCTCTCTCTCTCTCTCTCTCTCAAAAATAAATAAATAAACTTGAAAAATTAAAAAGAAAATCTGGGAAATAAGATCCTTATTTATGCCCTGGACGCCACATAGTAAGCTCTGTTTCATCCTCCCTAGTCCTCACTCCCTTTTCTAAGACTCTATCTGGTTTTCTTAAGAAAACCCTGCTGGACTACCCAGACCCTGCTGGCCCCCTGCTGGACTACCCAAGCCTTTCCTTTCTCATTCTCCTTGGCAGATTACCTTCAATATTCCAGGACTTTCTTCCTCATCTCTATCTTCTCCATACTCGTTGCCCTTGGCTGGCTCATCAACTCTTGCCTGCCTAGAAGAGGAAGTACGAACACCAACTTCGATCTGAAGATATCCATACTGAGCTTCATCTCAGGTACAGACCTAGACTGGCAGGGAAATGCCAGGGTAAAACTGTCAAATGAATCAAGTTTCTCTGTGGGGCTTTTATTCTCTTTTTCTTGTCCCTTTCCTCTTCTTCAGTATCACATCAAGTTGCCAGCTTCCGGCCCTGTCTTACTGCATAAAACACACTTTAACTGACTTATACCAGGGGGAAGGGAGAGGCCCCTTTCTCTTTCCCATATTGGTCAAGCCCTAAATTTTAATCTTGCTGTGCATATGGCGTGGAGGTAGAAGAAGACTTGGGGGGGGTGCGTGGTCAAGGAAGACTGAAGACACTGATGGGTTGTGACATCTTTTCTTTTGGTCCTAGCCATCTCCTTGCTCCTCTGCCTTATCCTGTTTCTGGCACAGGTTTACAGGCATACTAAGGATGCCTTGGAGCCAGATCTCCTATGGGCCTATCATATTAATTGGTGGAGTGACTTCTTATTCACGTTTTCTGGTGAGTCAGTCCCCTGTCTTTTGCTAGAAGGATAGAAGAAGAAACCACTTCTTGAAGGCAAGGTAGAATTTAGGAGAAATAGAAGAAATGACTGTTCCTATCCGGAACATTTATACATGGAGAGGCAGAGTGGTATGGCAAAGAAAGTATGGATTTTGAAGTCTGGAAACCTGGATTTAGTAACCTGTTCTACCATTAACTGAGGCAGGCACAGGTTGACTGACTTGCCTAAGACCACACAGAAAGTTGTGGAACTATCATTTGAATCTAGGAGGTTCAAGCTTTGTCTTCACCATGTGAGATAATGCAATGGGAGCACAGGAGGGTAAAGTAACTGTGCTGGGGGAGAGAAGGGTTGGCTTCACTAAGAAGAGGTCTTTAGAACCTCTTCTAAAGCATCACTAAGAATTTTGAAAGCCAAAAGACCATCTGTCTACTGAAACTCACCTCAAATTCTTCTCCTCCTTTAGGGATCATGTCCTTCCTCAACTACATAACTTTCAGATTTCCTCCCCTTGATCAAAATGTCACCGCGAGTCCCACGGAGAAGTCAAGGCTGGGGGTTGGTCCAGTGACCAAAGAATTACCTGCTGAAGATGAAGGGTTAAGGTCTGATATAGAAGCTCCAACTGAGGAAGAGAAAACAGCCCCCGAAGCAGAACCGTGATGGTGATAGGAAAACCCAACTACTGCTTGTTTTAAAAACAGAAGAGGGGCTGAGTTGGAAATGATTGTGTAGATTCTAGGAAACTCTCCTAATGTCATGTCCATGCTATTGAAGGAGATAGCAGTAAAGCTATCTTTTGTGTGCACTGGACCCAAAATATGTATTATAGAAATAAAAGAAAATAATAAAAATCCATTTAAGAAAAAAAAATTTTTTAAGTTTATTTATTTTTGAGAGAGAGAGAATCAGAGGGGCAGAGAGAGAATCCCAAGCAGGCTCCGCGCCATCAGCATGGAGCCTGATGCAGGGCTCGCACTCACTAACTGTGAGATCATGACCTGAGCCAAAGTTGGGCACTTAGCCAACTGAGCCATCCAGGCTCCCCAAGAAAAAATTTCTAAGATAAAACATCTGTGGTTAGAATCACGAATGAAAGAAACTAGCAGTAGGTGCAGTGTGTGGATTAGAGATGTCTTTGGGCATCAGGGATCTTACAGAGCAGAATGACCCATAGAGAAAGATGTCATCTAGAGGAAGATGCCATCTAGAGAAAGATATCATCTAATTCTGCTTGAAAATTTCTTTTCTTTATTATACGTGGCCTATACTGTTGAATCTGAATTGCAGATCATTGCCAGCAATGGAATAAACATCAGTAGAAATAATGCTTATCATCCATAGGTACTGAAAGGTGCTGGGGTGGGAGGTGGGTTCTGGGGAATCCATGAGGTCCAATTTCCTATGAGGACTGGTCATTTGAAACCTTTACAGTCTATTATGTGAACCCACTGCTTCTCCCTAGGCTGAGAGATATCTTAACCAGGCCTCCACAAACTTCTGAAACTGTGCACAAAATTTGTGGATGCCCTTTTCTGTGAAGAGAGCCACAGACTCCATCAGATTTTTGATAGGCCTGTGACTCTTTTGATTCCTGTTACTCAGTTTTGTTTTAATGAGCCAAATGAGGCTAAAGGGCTTTCTTCGGCCTAAGTATATAGATGTGGACCAAGTTAAAAGGTTTTACCCCATAAAGCTAAGTAAGGCAATCACATAGGTCTTTCAATGGCTAAAGATCCCTTTCAAACCCAGACCTCATTCCATGCAGAAAGTCCCTGACATTCATTTTGTTCTTTATTCCTTTAGTAGCTGCCACTACTACTCTACTGGTTGAGGTGCATACTTCTCCCCCAACCTGGCAGTGGAATGGACTATAGTGCCCAGCTTGAACCCCTTTCTGCTCTTAAAGATAAGCTTTTGGGTCCTTTTGGTTTAATTTAAAGATTTACTGGTAACTTCTATAGAAAACAAACATAACAGCATGGAGCAATTATGTAGGGTTTTTTGGGTTTTTTTTTGTTTGTTTTTTTTGCCTTTTTAAGATAATTTTATTTGAGTGGTTCTTACAATTCATGTAGTGTTTTTTTTTAATGTTTTTATTTACTTA